GCTGTGCAGAGAGAGAGAGAGAGAGGTGGGCACTGTGCAGAGAGAGAGAGAGAGAGGTGGGCGCTGTGCAGAGAGAGAGAGAGAGAGGTGGACGCTGTGCAGAGAGAGAGAGAGAGAGGTGGGCGCTGTGCAGAGAGAGAGAGAGAGGTGGGCACTGTGCAGGGAGAGAGAGAGAGAGGTGGGCGCTGTGCAGGGAGAGAGAGAGAGAGGTGGGCGCTGTGCAGGGAGAGAGAGAGAGAGGTGGGTGCTGTGCAGAGAGAGAGAGAGAGGTGGGCACTGTGCAGAGAGAGAGAGAGTGAGAGGTGGACACTGTGCAGGGAGAGAGAGAGAGAGGTGGGCGCTGTGCAGGGAGAGAGAGAGAGAGGTGGGCGCTGTGCAGGGAGAGAGAGAGAGGTGGGCGCTGTGCAGAGAGAGAGAGAGGTGGGCGCTGTGCAGGGAGAGAGAGAGAGAGGTGGGCACTGTGTGGGGAGAGAGAGAGAGAGGTGGGCACTGTGTGGGGAGAGAGAGAGAGAGAGGTGGGCACTGTGTGGGGAGAGAGAGAGAGAGAGGTGGGCGCTGTGCAGAGAGAGAGAGAGAGAGGTGGGCACTGTGCAGAGAGAGAGAGAGAGAGGTGGGCGCTGTGCAGAGAGAGAGAGAGAGGTGGGCACTGTGCAGAGAGAGAGAGAGAGAGAGGTGGGCACTGTGCAGAGAAAGAGAGAGAGAGAGGTGGACACTGTGCAGGGAGAGAGAGAGAGAGGTGGGCGCTGTGCAGAGAGAGAGAGAGAGGTGGGCGCTGTGCAGGGAGAGAGAGAGAGAGGTGGGCACTGTGTGGGGAGAGAGAGAGAGAGAGGTGGGCACTGTGTGGGGAGAGAGAGAGAGAGAGGTGGGCGCTGTGCAGAGAGAGAGAGAGAGAGAGGTGGGCGCTGTGCAGAGAGAGAGAGAGAGAGGTGGGCGCTGTGCAGAGAGAGAGAGAGAGAGAGAGAGAAGTGGGCGCTGTGCAGAGAGAGAGAGAGAGAGAGGTGGGCGCTGTGCAGAGAGAGAGAGAGAGAGAGGTGGGCGCTGTGCAGAGAGAGAGAGAGAGAGAGGTGGGCGCTGTGCAGAGAGAGAGAGAGAGGTGGGCGCTGTGAGGAGAGAGAGAGAGAGAGGTGGGCGCTGTGCAGAGAGAGAGAGAGAGAGAGGTGGGCGCTGTGCAGGGAGAGAGAGAGAGAGGTGGGCACTGTGTGGGGAGAGAGAGAGAGAGAGGTGGGCACTGTGTGGGGAGAGAGAGAGAGAGAGGTGGGCGCTGTGCAGAGAGAGAGAGAGAGAGAGGTGGGCGCTGTGCAGAGAGAGAGAGAGAGAGGTGGGCGCTGTGCAGAGAGAGAGAGAGAGAGAGAGAGAGGTGGGCGCTGTGCAGAGAGAGAGAGAGAGAGGTGGGCGCTGTGCAGAGAGAGAGAGAGAGAGAGGTGGGCGCTGTGCAGAGAGAGAGAGAGAGGTGGGCGCTGTGAGGAGAGAGAGAGAGAGGTGGGCACTGTGCAGAGAGAGAGAGAGAGGTGGGCACTGTGCGGAGAGAGAGAGAGAGAGGTAGGCGCTGCGTGGAGAGAGAGAGAGAGAGAGGTGGGCGCTGTGCAGAGAGAGAGAGAGGTGGGCGCTGTGCAGAGAGAGAGAGAGGTGGGCACTGTGAGGAGAGAGAGAGAGAGAGAAGTGAGCACTGTGCAGAGAGAGAGAGAGAGGTGGACACTGTGCAGGGAGAGAGAGAGAGAGGTGGACACTGTGCAGGGAGAGAGAGAGAGAGGTGGGCGCTGTGCAGAGAGAGAGAGAGGTGGGCGCTGTGAGGAGAGAGAGAGAGAGAGGTGGGCGCTGTGCATAGAGAGAGAGAGAGGTGGGCGCTGTGAGGAGAGAGAGAGAGAGAGGTGGGCGCTGTGCAGAGAGAGAGAGAGAGAGGTGGACACTGTGCAGGGAGAGAGAGAGAGAGGTGGACACTGTGCAGAGAGAGAGAGAGAGAGAGGTGGGCACTGTGCAGAGAGAGAGAGAGAGAGGTGGGTGCTGTGCAGAGAGAGAGAGAGAGAGGTGGGAACTGTGCAGAGAGAGAGAGAGAGAGGTGGGCGCTGTGCAGAGAGAGAGAGAGAGAGGTGGGCGCTGTGCAGAGAGAGAGAGAGAGAGGTGGGTGCTGTGCAGAGAGAGAGAGAGAGAGGTGGGCACTGTGCAGAGAGAGAGAGAGGTGGGCGCTGTGCAGAGAGAGAGAGAGGTGGGCACTGTGAGGAGAGAGAGAGAGAGAGAAGTGAGCACTGTGCAGAGAGAGAGAGAGAGGTGGACACTGTGCAGGGAGAGAGAGAGAGAGGTGGACACTGTGCAGGGAGAGAGAGAGAGAGGTGGGCGCTGTGCAGAGAGAGAGAGAGGTGGGCGCTGTGAGGAGAGAGAGAGAGAGAGGTGGGCGCTGTGCATAGAGAGAGAGAGAGGTGGGCGCTGTGAGGAGAGAGAGAGAGAGAGGTGGGCGCTGTGCAGAGAGAGAGAGAGAGAGGTGGACACTGTGCAGGGAGAGAGAGAGAGAGGTGGACACTGTGCAGAGAGAGAGAGAGAGAGAGGTGGGCACTGTGCAGAGAGAGAGAGAGAGTGGTGGGTGCTGTGCAGAGAGAGAGAGAGAGAGGTGGGAACTGTGCAGAGAGAGAGAGAGAGAGGTGGGCGCTGTGCAGAGAGAGAGAGAGAGAGGTGGGCGCTGTGCAGAGAGAGAGAGAGAGAGGTGGGTGCTGTGCAGAGAGAGAGAGAGAGAGGTGGGCACTGTGCAGAGAGAGAGAGAGAGAGGTGGGCACTGTGCAGAGAAAGAGAGAGAGAGAGGTGGACACTGTGCAGGGAGAGAGAGAGAGAGGTGGGCGCTGTGCAGGGAGAGAGAGAGAGAGGTGGGCGCTGTGCAGGGAGAGAGAGAGAGAGGTGGGTGCTGTGCAGAGAGAGAGAGAGAGAGGTGGGCACTGTGCAGAGAGAGAGAGAGAGAGAGGTGGGCACTGTGCAGAGAAAGAGAGAGAGAGAGGTGGACACTGTGCAGGGAGAGAGAGAGAGAGGTGGGCGCTGTGCAGGGAGAGAGAGAGAGAGGTGGGCGCTGTGCAGGGAGAGAGAGAGAGGTGGGCGCTGTGCAGAGAGAGAGAGAGAGGTGGGCGCTGTGCAGGGAGAGAGAGAGAGAGGTGGGCACTGTGTGGGGAGAGAGAGAGAAGAGGTGGGCACTGTGTGGGGAGAGAGAGAGAGAGAGGTGGGCGCTGTGCAGAGAGAGAGAGAGAGAGGTGGGCACTGTGCAGAGAGAGAGAGAGAGAGGTGGGCGCTGTGCAGAGAGAGAGAGAGAGAGGTGGGTGCTGTGCAGAGAGAGAGAGAGAGAGAGGTGGGCACTGTGCAGAGAGAGAGAGAGAGAGAGGTGGGCACTGTGCAGAGAAAGAGAGAGAGAGAGGTGGACACTGTGCAGGGAGAGAGAGAGAGAGAGAGGTGGGCGCTGTGCAGGGAGAGAGAGAGAGAGGTGGGCGCTGTGCAGGGAGAGAGAGAGAGAGGTGGGCGCTGTGCAGAGAGAGAGAGGTGGGCGCTGTGCAGGGAGAGAGAGAGAGAGGTGGGCACTGTGTGGGGAGAGAGAGAGAGAGGTGGGCACTGTGTGGGGAGAGAGAGAGAGAGAGGTGGGCGCTGTGCAGAGATAGAGAGGTGGGCACTGTGTGTGGAGAGGTGGGCGCTGTGCGGGGAGAGGTGGGCGCTGTGCGGGGAGAGGTGGGCACTGTGGGGGCTGGGCCTTTGCTTTTGGCTGAGATTCCTGGGGAGACCACAGGGCTGAGGTGGGAGGGAGGGAGAGGGAACGCCAAGGCCAGGAAGGGCAGGATGGGCAGGAGGAAAATGGGGGGCTGGGGGCCACAAAGGAGCTGCCTGCACACAGCCCTCGGCTGGGTCTCTAGGACAGATGGCCCTGGGTCTGGGGGCGTGGGCACCCAGGGTGGTCTAGCTCCTGTGGTGACAGGAGCGGCTTGTCCCCGCGACCCCTCCCCCCCTGGGCCTCGGCCCTGAGCTGGGCGCCCAGCCAGCACCCCACGTCCCGTGTCAGAATTAAGCGCGCTGGAAGTTGCCAGTGGTGCAAGAGCAGCGTGTAACTCGGACGCGGTCCTGGCACGGCCGGCCTCCACTCGCGGCCAGGCTGCCACTACTCGGGAGGCTCCTTCATAGGAAGCAGCAGCCGTGGTTAGGCACACTGGTCTCCCCTAGCAGAGGGTTGGGGTGCAGGCCATTGACCAGCTCCCTCCCCCCCCCCGTGTCCACACCCCCAGTCTAGCCACACAGAGCCCCACCCCACCCCCGCAGGAGCCAGGTAGGACAGGGGCCGAGAGCGCACAGCGGCGTGGGCAGGTGTCAGCCTGCGGGGAGCCGTTCAGGAGGCTGGCTCTGTGCTGAAGCAGGGATCCCACAGTCGGACATCTCTTGAGCGTCTATGTCCGAGAGCGACCAGGCTGACGAAGTGGGCGGCCTCCTGTCGCCCCCAGCGCAGCCTGAGCCGCGGCTGCTCGGGCACGGCCGGCTGCGCGCCAGGGAGCGGCCAGCACGGTGACAGCGTCCAGACACCGTTGACGCTGAGCAGGCCACGTCCCCCCGCCTGGAATCCTGGCTACTCAGGAGGCTGAGATCTGAGGAAACTGGTTCAAAGCCAGCCTGCGTAGGAAAAGAAAATGCCCGGGGCTCTACCTCTAGCTAACTAGCAAAAAGCCAGAAGTGGAAGTGTGGTTCAAATGCTAGAGCACCAGCCTTGAGTGAAAAAGCTAAAGAAGACCATGAGACCATGAGTTCAAGCCCCAGTACACACACACACACACACACACACACACACACACACACGCGCTCTCCGAGCGCCTCCTCCCCTCGCAGCGTCCTCCGCCTGTCCCTGAGATCCAGCGGTGGCTGCCAGTGGCTGTCCCCAAAGGGGCAGTCAGGTGTCCCCTGGGCTTGGGTTACGGGTGGGGCCGGTTCCACGGGTCAGGGGCCCCTGCCTTCCTGCCCGTAATAACCACAGTGGCGGTGTGTCCGGCCCCCAGGTGGAGGAGTGGGGTCCCTTCGATCTGGTGTACGGCTCCACGCCGCCCCAAGGCAGTGACGGCGGCCACTCTCCAGGTAAGAGGGCTGCGCCCGCCGCTCAGCCCTGTCACCCCCATGCCACCCCGTCAGGCCGCGCAGAGCCTGCCACGCCAGCGAGCGCTCGCCCTGGACCTGCGGCGGATGCGGATCCCGCAGGCTCCGTGCGCTGTTTGGGGAGGGCGGGACTGTGTCCTGTCACCAGCAAGAGCAAGGGCGCCCCGACCCGCAGCTCCCGCCCCCTCCCCTGTCACCCCAGCACCCCCAGCACCTCCCAGCATGCCCTGCAGGTGGCTGGCCTCCTCTGGAACCTTAGCCAAAGGTTCCCTGATGACACAGCACCGCACTGCGCCCGCGCGGGCTCTGCCCGCCCCCACCGGCACTGGCACTGCTGACCACCGAGGCAGAGCTGCCGCTGCCGCCGCCACACAGCCCACACCCGGCCCCCAAGGCTCCCAGTCTTGCTGGGGCAGAGAACGTTGTGACCCGAGAGGGATGCTCCTGGCCCCACCCCCTGCCCTCCCCCCTCAGCCCTCCCCTCCTGGCCCCACCCCCTGCCCTCCCCCCTCAGCCCTCCCCTCCTGGCCCCACCCCCTGCCCTCCCCCCTCAGCCCTGCCTTCCTGGCCATCCCCTCCCCCCTCCCCCCTACCCTCCTAGCCCCACCCCCTCCCCCCTCAGCCCTACCCTCCTGGCCACCCCCTCCCCACCTCAGCCCGCCCCTCCTGGCCCCACCCCCTGCCCTCCCCCCTCAGCCCTGCCTTCCTGGCCATCCCCTCCCCCCTCACCCCTACCCTCCTAGCCCCACCCCCTCCCCCCTCAGCCCTCCCCTCCTGGCCATCCCCTCCCCCTCAGCCCTCCCCTCCTGGCCATCCCCTCCCCCTCAGCCCTCCCCTCCTGGCCATCCCCTCCCCCCTCAGCCCTACCCTCCTGGCCATTCCCTCCCCCCCAGCCCTACCCTCCTGGCCCCACCCCCTCCCCCCCTCAGCCCTACCCTCCTGGCCATCCCCTCCCCCCTCAGCCCTACCCTCCTAGCCATCCCCTCCCCCCTCAGCTCTACCCTCCTGGCCATCCCCTCCCCCCTCAGCCCTACCCTCCTGGCCATCCCCTCCCCCCTCAGCCCTCCCCTCCTGGCCCCACCCCCTCCCCCCCTCAGCCCTACCCTCCTGGCCATCCCCTCCCCACTCAGCCCTCCCCTCCTGGCCCCACCCCCTCCCCCCCCAGCCCTCCCTGCCGGCCGGCCGTCCTGTGCCTGACCAGCCCTCGGCCCTTCCCGCGGCAGCCTGGTACCTGTTCCAGTTCCACCGGTTGCTGCAGTACGCATGTCCCCCGCCCGGCAACCCAAAGCCCTTCTTCTGGATGTTTGTGGACACCCTGCTGCTGACCCCAGAAGACCAGGATGCCGCAACCCGCTTCCTGGAGGTGTGTGCGGGGTGGGGGAGGCAGGGGGTGTGGAGGCCCGGCCTCCCGGAAACGCTGCGTGTGGGAGGGACGAGGCTCACACTCGGGCTCTGCGGCTCTTGCTGTTGGCTGTTGCGGCTTCAGCTGCCCAGATGTGCACAGGGCCATGACAGTCCTCCTTCTGGGACTCAGAGGGCAAATACAAGGTCAAACCGTCAAGGCCCCCCCCCACCATTCTGCCTGAGTTCCACACACACAACAAACCATACACATGCCACGCAGCCACGCACACCCACACGCAGCCACACCCACATGCAGCCACGCACACGTGTGCACACGCCCCCAGCTGGGCCACACTCCACAGCACACCCACACGCAGCCATGCACACCCACACGCAGCCACGCACACGTGTGCACACACCCCAGCTGGGCCACACTCCACAGCACACCCACAGGCGCGTTTGGGTGTCTGGGCTGTGGCAATGCGCTGGTCACATAGGGCTTGGCGGCCCCTTCCACCGGGCAGGGCGGGGCCAGGCGGGGTGGGGCAGGGGAGTGAGGTTCGCTTAGGAGGGCGGGTGCCCCAGGGTTGTGGAGCTTGCCCAGGAAGCAGGAAGTGGGATTCTTCAGGCCAGGAAGTGTCACTGGGTGGCCCGAAAGCAAGCAGGAGAGGGAGCTCCTGCCCCACATCCCTGCGTTCCAGATGGGCGTGTGCACCCACCAACTCCAGAACTGAGATTTCTAGGTCCGGGGGAAAGGTGCCTGTGGCTCACTCCCTGCCCCTGGCAGACTGTGCCACCAGCTGCCAAGGGCTGAGCGAGACCGCCAGTCCAGCTGCGGCTCTGTGTATCCCCAGCGCAAACCTCGCTGCGCTGCAGGGCAGCAGCCGCTCCTGCCGGCCCCAGCGCCCTCACCCTTGATGAGTCCTCTCCAGGACTCCCGGTCCAACCACGTTCCTGACTGACAGCGAGTTGCTTTCCTCCTGATTTTATGCCTGGTGTATCTCCCTGGTCCCACGGAGTTCTCGGTCCCTGTGGATCGTGTGGAGTCACAGCAGCAACGGAGACCTCCCGTTTTGCTGCGAATTTCACACCTCCAGCCCCCCCCCTACCTGCAGATTCTGGCTTTGGGGCTGAAGTGGACAGACTTCACGATGTTGAGGAAATTTCCACCCCTCCCCTTTTTTGAGCATTTTCATCAACAGTAGTTGTGGGGTTTTGAATGTCCAAGGAGATTAATTTTTTTCCTCTTAAATCTGTTCATTGATATGAATAAGTAGTTTCTAGTAATGAGTCATTCTGAGATCCTGGGGGAAATCTGCCTGGTTGTGGTATATTGTTCATGTAATATATCGCTAAAAATACATTCGCGAAGGTTTTAGAACTTATTTTCCTTGAGCCAAGGGCTCCCCCGAGTTCTGTCCTCTGCTGTGGTCATTTCTCCTGGCTAAAGGATCGACATATTCAAAATGCTGATTTCAAGGGAGGTACAGGAGTCAGGATCAGCCTTGTAGATCAGCCTGGTGTATCAAAATCCCATGGTTGGCCGGGAGCCCGTGGCCCTCGGCCGCAATCCAAGCCACCCATGAGGCTGAGATCTGAGGATCGCCAGGGCAAGTAGGAAAGCCCACGAGACCCTCATCTCCAATCAACCAACAGAAAGCCACAAGTGGAGCTGTGGCTCAAGCGGTAAAGCACTAGCCTTGAACAAAAAAGCTCAGACACAGCGCCCAGTCTGTGTTCAAGCCCCAGGAACGGCACCAAAAACCAAACAACAAACTGGGTTTGAGTGAACAAACAATGTTCCCGGGCCAGCCCGCATGGGCCACGGGAGGACGGCAGAGCACTGATTGCTAATACTTGGCGTGCGTATTTGTGGGTCAGAATGAATGGGCTCCGTGTCAGCTTTCTGTGTCTCCCGGAGCCACGGAGCCTTACCCGCACGTGGGAGGCCGTGCGCCCACCCCCCACGCTCCTGTGGGCATCTCCAGGCCACTCCCCGGGGAGGCGGGAGGGGACAGGAGGGGACAGGTGCCACGTGGGGCAGGAGACTCACGTCACCTCAGAGCCGGTGTGGGCTGGGCCTTGTGCCTCAGTTCCCCATCGCGGGGTAGGGGAGGGGCCCACCTCTGCCCCCCTTCCTTCTGGAGACTTCTTAGAGGGACAGCGTCCAGCACCGGAGGCCGAGGCTGTGTTCTGCAGACAAACTTCCCTGCTCCCTGGGACGGAGCCCGGTCTCCCCAGTGGAAGTCCACGCCTCACGAGAGGGAAGCCCTGGTGCCATGGGGGGCCCCGTCTCGTGAGTGTCCCCAGCAGACACCCGGACACGGTGGGTCAGCTGCATGGCCTTCCCCTCCCGCAGACAGAGCCCGTCACCCTGCAAGACGTCCGCGGGGAAGCTGTCCACGGTGCCGTGCGCGTCTGGAGCAACATCCCGGCTGTGAGGAGGTGTGCCCGGGCGGGGGCAGGGGGCAAAGGGCGGGGGCGGAGGCCAGGGGCGGGGGCAGCCAGGGAGGGGGCAGAAGATGGGCACGGGCAGGCAGGGGCACAGGGGCAGGAGGTGGGAGGCGGGGGCGGGGGGGCATGGGACGGGAGCAAGGGGTCAGGGCCAAGCCCGAGCTGCTCTGATTCAGCCAGGGGCCACTAAGTTTGATTTCTGGAAGGTTCTTCCCACCCTCCTCTGGCCTCCGGTTGGCGGCTCACATACTTCCAGACCGGGGGCCCTGGCACTGCACAGGACAAGCCAGAGCCAGTGGGCCTTCTCTGTGCCGGAACCCCAGGAATGCTGGGGCCTCTCCAAGGGCCTGGGGGTCCCTTTGTCCCCAAGCGCTGCCCTGTGCTGCCCACGGGCTCTGGACGGCTCTGGGTCTCCTTCGTACCAAAGGGGGACACAGTGGGGTGGACCAAGGTCTGAACCTTGGGGACCCCGCCACCCGTCACCAGCCCCTCACCTGCTCTGGCAGGACTCTGGAGGTAGTCAGGGGTAGCCCGCCTCAGCTTCCAGCACTTTCCGAGCAGGTGTGGCCTCCTGAGAAGGCTCATCCTGGCAATGGGCTCCCCGATTCTGCAGCACCCAGAGCCCTCTAGCCACCGACAAGTCTCTCTCCCCGACAGCAAGCACAAGGCACTGGGTCCTGACGAGGAGCTGGCGCTGCTGACCCACACAGGCCCTGCCGGCCCGCCCGGGAGAAGGCTCCCCGCGGGGCCCGCCACGCTGGTGAAGAACTGCTTTCTCCCCCTCAGAGAGTACTTCAAGTACTTTTCCCAGAACTCCTTCCTCTTTACAAGTGAGTCGCGCCGTGGAGAAAAGGACGCGTCCTAGAATGCGGATGGACGGACGGATGGCGCTGACTCCTTCCTTTGGAGACTCTCCAAAGGGTGGCTCTCCTGCCTCTGGGTTCTCCGTGGAGCTGCAGGCTCAGCTCCTGTTTGGCTCGCAGTGTGTGGGGCTCCTGATCCCTGGCTGGGGGAGGGGGCACTGCTGCGGACGAGATCTCCATGCGTGTGTTGCACTTCTGCTAGAGCGCTGCGTCCCTGCTGTGAAATTGGAAATATACTGGGCAGTACTCCGTCCGTGGGCCATGCTTCCGTGTGTCTGTGGGCGGGCAGTCTCCGTGGGCCATGCTTCTGTGTGTCTGTGGGCGGGCGGTCTCCGTGGGCCATGCTTCCGTGTCTGTAGGACACGTGTGGCAGACGTGGCTCTTTCCCCGTGAGCTGCCCTGCTGCTGCCACGCTGGTGGGGACTCAGTGAAGTCTGGGCGCCCCCGCTGGGATTTGGAGCCTGGAGGTTGGCTCTGCTGTGCCTTGTGGTGGGTGAAGGGGAAGGAGCTGGGATTAAAAGTGGACCCATTGGGGCTGGGAAGGTGGCTCAGTGGTAGAGCGCTTGCCTTGCATGCCTGAGGCCCTGGGTTCGATTCCTCAGCACCACATAAGCAGAAAAGAAAAAAGCCGGAAGTGGTGCTGTGGCTTAAGTGGCAGAGCGCTGGCCTTGAGCTGAAGAGCTGAGGGACAGCGCCCAGGCCCAGAGTTCAGACCCCACGACTGGACACCCCAAAAAATAAAAAAAAAAGTGGACCCATTGAAATTCTCTAAAACACACATTGAAACCAAGTGCTGGAGGCTCATATCAGCACTCCTAGCCACTCAGGAGGCCGAGATCTGAGGATCACGGTTTGGAGTCAGTCCAGGCACCAAAAAGCTGGAGTGGGAGCTGCAGCTCCAAGTCTAAGCCCTGACCCGAAGCCCCGATTATGGCAGAAGAAGAAAAAACAATCCAGGAGGAGAGAAGGCCATACTCGTATCTCTGGAAGACAGGCCTCTGGGTATAGGGTTCGTGTCCAAGGCTGCTGAGCGGGCCGGAGAGCCACAGGACACCGAGCAGGAGAAGAGACGGACGTGGTCAGGAGCAAACCTTCGGGTTAGGCTGAGCTCAGAGGGTCCCCCCACAGGCATGAGAGGAGACTGACGAGCGGGCTGGGGCCTGTGACGCCGCTGAGCACCACGAGAGCACTGCACGGGGCCCCAGAGCCCGGCAGCTTCCGGGCAACGCAGCATGCCATGAGCCTGCCAGGGACTCGGCAGGAACGCTGTCTATTCCTATCAGCCAGCCTCCAACACACAGCATGCGCCATGCCTGGAGAGTCTTCCAGTGTGTGTGTGTGTGTATGCGCGCTAGCTTCCAACACACAGCATGCACCATGCCTCGAGATTCTTCCAGTGTGTGTGTGTGTGTGTGTGTGTGTGTGTGTGTGTGTGTGCACGCGCCAACTTCCAACACACAGCATGCTCCATGCCTGGAGATTCTTCCAGTGTGTGTGTGTGTGTGTGTGTGTGCACACGCGCGCTAGCTTCCAACACACAGCATGCTCCATGCCTGGAGATTCTTCCAGTGTGTGTGTGTGTGTGTGTGTGTGTGTGTGTGCACGCGCTAGCTTCCAACACACAGCATGCGCCATGCCTGAAGATTCTTCCAGTGTGTGTGTGTGTGTGTGTGTGTGTGTGTGCACACGCGCGCTAGCTTCCAACACACAGCATGCTCCATGCCTGGAGATTCTTCCAGTGTGTGTGTGTGTGTGTGTGTGTGTGTGCACGCGCTAGCTTCCAACACACAGCATGCTCCATGCCTGAAGATTCTTCCAGTGTGTGTGTGTGTGTGTGTGTGTGTGTGTGTGTGCACACGCGCACGCACGCATAGCTGCACACACCAGTCCTGGTGCTGGAACTCAGAGCCTGAGCACTGCCCCTGAGTCGGTTTGCTCAAGGCTACCACTCTATCACTTGAGCGACAGCTTCACTTCTGGCTTCTTGGTGGTTACTTGGGAGATGAGAGTCTCTTGGACTTTCCTGCCCTAGCTGGCTTGGAACCACAATCCTCAGATCATAACCTGAGTAGCTAGGATCACAGGTGTGAGCCCCTGGCACCCTGGAAATGCTGTATACTCTAATCCAATTTACAATCCCCATTTGTGATCAACTGTGATCAACTGAATGACCCCACCTCCCTGCAAAAACAGAGGGGGGGGGAGGGGGGGAGAGAGGGTTCCCTGGCTGAACACCTGCAGCTTCACGTCACTCACTGGCAGAAAGAGTTTTGCGAATGTGGTTTAAGACGGGGAGAGCACCCTGGAACATCTAGGGGATCCCCACACCACAAACGATCACAGAAGGAGGCATACGAGGTGAGCCCGGTGACAGGCTGCCGCCAGCCACCAGGACCTGCTCTGCGGCCGCCTCCGCTCCAGGCTCCAATAAAGCACTGTGCACTTCCAGCCTTCAGGATTGCGAGGAAGACAAAGGTGGTTTTTTTGTTTTTGTTTTTTTTGCTGGCCCTGGGTCTTGAACTCGGGGCCTGGCCGCTGTCTCTGAGCTCTTCAGCTCAAGACTAGCACTCTACCACTTGAACCATCTAGTTTTTTCTGTGTACGTAGTACTGAGGAATCGAACCAGGGCTTCATGCATGCTAAGCAGGCACTCTACCACTGAGCCACCTTCCCAGCCCAAAGGTTGTTTTGCTCAGACACCAAGGATGTGGTGGTTAGCTAGTTATCCCAGGAGGTGACCGGACCCTCATGGGACTGGCTTGCTGGCCAGGCACGGCCCCACACACAGACCTGTGCCCGCCAAGCACATCCAAGAGCCCTCTGCACCCCAGTCTGCCTGAGCACAACTCCCCCCAGGGTCCAGGGCTGAGAGCCCTCTCTGCATACCCCAGCCCCGAGCTCTCCCGCCCGCCAGACAGTCGTGACTTGGGGAAGTGGGCCTACGCTTTCCCTCAGCTGCTCATTTGCCCTGAAAATCGTGGGATTTGGCATGGGTCATGGTGGCTCACACCCCAAATCTCAGCAGTTAGGGGAGACTGAGGCAGGAGCATCTGGGATTCCAGGTCTGTCTGAGCAAGAGAAGGCGTCACTCTGCCTACTCCACGGGGGAGAGGCCCACGTCACACAGTGCTCACAGCGGCGCTAGGGTCAGGGGTCACACGTGTCCCTGGGCTGAGCTGGTCTGGCATTCAGGGCCTTCACTTGAGCCACACCTCCACTTCTGGGCTTTTGCTGGCTGACTGGAGATAAGAATCTCAGACTTTCTGCCTGGGCTGGCTTTGAACCAGGATCCTCAGGTCTCAAGTCTTCTGAGCAGCTAGTATTAAAGGTGTGAGCCACTGGTGCCTGGCTTTCTTTTCTTTTTCCCCCTAAGCCTGGGGCATAAACTCAGGGCATAAGCACCACGTCCCCTCAAAGCTAGCACTCTACTACTTGAGCCGCAGCTCTTCTGGCTTTTTGGAGGTTAACTGGAGATAATCTCATGGACTTTCCTGCCCAAACTGGCTTCAAACTGCGATTCTCAGATCTTAGCCTTCTGGTTAGCCAGGGTTACCAGCACAGGCCCCTGGCGCCCGGCTCTTCTTTTGAAGCTCATGTCCTCAGTGCTGGTCAGGACTTGATCCTCCTGCCTGGCACTGAGTAACAACAGGCTACCAAGAGGCTTGGTTCCAAGGGAGTGCCGGCAGATCCTCAGCGCTTGGCAGTGGCCCCAGCCTCCTGCCTCTGGGAAGGAAGGCCGCGCTGCCCGGCTGGCTGGGGGGACACACCCTCCTGCCTGCTCCCTGGGGAGGGGGAGCGTTTCTCTCTCCATCTGGGAGACTCTCGGGACAGAGGGCCTGGCCTGACGGGTAGAGTAGGGGAAGGGAGCCAGCAAGCAGCTCGGCCCGGGGCCCGGCCGCGCAGGGCTGGGCTTCCCAGAGCCTCTGCTGGGGACACAGGGCTTGGCTCGGGCCAGGTCTCTCTGCCTTGGCCTTTCCGCTCGCGGCTGGCATTCTGCTCCCTACGGCACCTCCAGTTCCTGCCCTGGGGTGGCTCGTTGGAGATAAGCATCTCGAGAACTTTCCTTCCCGGGCTGGCCTCCTTCCAGCTCCGGGGCAGCCCGCAGGCCCCGGGCCGGCGCCGCCCCAGCGCAGGGGAGGGCGGTGCGGGTCCCGGGCTCCGAGCGGACGCGCGACGGGCGTCCTGGCCGGCTGACCGGGGAGCGGCCGCGCGCGGAGGCGGGCACCGAGGTCGGAGCCGAGCCCGGCTTCCGCCCGCCACTCCCGCCCCGCCTCTGCCGGGGGCGGCCCCGGGAGGGCCGAGGGCGGGGCCGGACGCTCAGCTGGTCCCGCTCGGAGCCCGCCGGGGCGCAGTGGGAGCCAGAGCGCAGAGGGAGCCGGAGCCGGAGCCGGAGCGCAGAGGAAGCCGGAGCCGGAGCCGGAGCGCAGAGGGAGCCGGAGCCGGAGCCGGAGCGCAGAGGGAGCCGGAGCGCAGAGGGAGCCGGAGCCGGAGCCGGGGCACAGAGGAAGCCGGAGCCGGAGCCGGAGCCGGAGCGCAGAGGGAACCGGAGCCGGGGCGCGGGCGCAGCCGGAGCCGGGGCGCGGGCGCAGCCGGAGCCGGGGCGCGGGCGCAGCCGTCCGGGCTCCGCAGCCCGCGATCGCCGCTCCGAGTCCGGCGGCCCCGGTGCCCTCGATCGGAACCGCGGCGGCCCGGGTCTCCGCGCCCAGGACGGAGAGCTCGGCGCCCACCATGCTGCTGAGGTGAGCGGGGACCGCGGGGCCCGACGGCAGCGGCCGCACCCGGCCCCCGCGTCCCGGTTCACCTGGACGTGCGGCGCGGAGAGCCCGGGGGCCGCCCGGCCGTGAACGCCAGGGGGCGGTGCGGGGCGCGGGCCCGCGGCGCAGGGGGGGGGGCGGTGCGGGGCGCGGACCCGCGGTGCAGGGGGGGCGGTGCGGGGCGCGGACCCGCGGCGCAGGGGGGGCGGTGCGGGGCGCGGACCCGCGGCGCAGGGGGGGCGGTGCGGGGCGCGGACCCGCGGCGCAGGGGGGGGCGGTGTGGGGCGCGGACCCGCGGCGCAGGGGGGCGGGCGAGTGGTGGAGGGGGTTGTGCCGAGGGCGCGCTTGGAGGCGGGACGTGCGGGGGGGGGCGCGCTTGGAGGCGGGACGTGCGGGGGGGGGGCGCTTGGAGGCGGGACGTGCGGGGGGGGGGGCGCGCTTGGAGGCGGGACGTGGGGGGGGCGCGCTTGGAGGCGGGACGTGCGGGGGGGCGCGCTTGGAGGCGGGACGTGCCGGGGGGGGGGGGCGCTTGGAGGCGGGACGTGCCGGGGGGGGGGGGGCGTGGTGGAGGGGGTTGTGCCGGAGGCGCTCTCGGCGGCTTGAGCCCGTGCCTGGGACGGGGGCGCGCGTGGTGGAGGGGGACGGGGGGGGGGCGGGGGGGGCGCGCGTGGTGGAGGGGGGCGGGGGGCGCGCGTGGTGGAGGGGGGCGGGGGGCGGGGGGGGCGCGCGTGGTGGAGGGGGGCGGGGGGCGCGCATGGTGGAGGGGGGCGGGGGACGCTCGTGATGGAGGTTGGGGGGGCGCGCGTGGTGGAGGGCGGGGGCCGCGCGTGGTGGAGGTTGGGGGGGCGTGCGTGGTGGAGGGCGGGGGGGCGCGCGTGGTGGAGGGGGGCAGGGGCCGCGCGTGGTGGAGGTTGGGGGGGGCGCGCGTGGTGGAGGGGGGCAGGTGGGCGCGCGTGGTGGAGGGGGGCAGGTGGGCGCGCGTGGTGGAGGTTGGGGGGCGCGCGTGGTGGAGGTTGGGGGTACTCTCGTGATGGAGGTTGGGGGGGGCGTGCGTGGTAGAGGGGGCGGGGGGCGCGCGTGGTGGAGGTTGGGGGGGGCGCGCGTCGTGGAGGGGGGCGGGGGACGCTCGTGATGGAGGTTGGTGGGGCGTGCGTGGTGGAGGGGGCGGGGGCACCTAGGGCAGGGGCTTGCTTGGTGTAGGGGGGCTGGGGAGGCTTGGGGGGAGGCGCGCCTGGCCTGGAAGGGGTGGGCCCCGGCTCTCCGCCGCAGCCCCCTCCCTCCACCGGACCAATTTCCTTGGCTCGTGGCCTCGTGTGTCCCTCAAGCCGGCTGGGTGAGGAGGTTCCCCCCTCCGGCCCCCCACGATCCCCCTCCGTGGGCTGCCTGGAGGACCTTGGCGGGAGGACAGCTTTGCAGGAACCCAGGTCCCCTCTGCGGCCCCCTTGGCGAACCCTGAGGTGGCTCCCCCAGTCCCCAGGAGGGGCAGGATGGCCTGCCGGGTCCCCCGGCCCGCAGGCCCTGGGCCAGTGCTGGCCGTCCCAACTGCATGGGGTTTGGGGCTCCCCGGGAGGGGTGGGGGGAGATCCCGGGACACAGGTGCACCTGGAGCTCCAGGCAGTGGCTGCGAGGTGAGGGACTTTGAGTAGAGGCCCTCGACCCTTTCTGGAGACTTCCACCTCTGGGTTTGGGGGTCTAGGGGGAGTACTGAGACGGGAGGGGATCACCCAGGGTGGCCTGGAAGGGAAGAGGCCAGGCCGAGGGGCACGGGGTGTAGAGACTTTGGACAAAGAATGACAGAGCCCCAGCTCAGGGGTGTCTGAAACACGGGGGTCCCACAACTTCCAGAGGCTCTGTTCATCCCCTTCCGGAGCCTGCCGGGTGCTGGCCAAGATCTCCCTGGCTCCAGGCTTTTCAGGCAGCTGGAGGCATCTCCCTCCCGCCCCAGCTCCGCCCCAGCCAGGCCAGGCTGGAGTCAGAGCCCAGGGCCGGAGGCTTGCCCAGCTCTTTCTCATCACCCTCTCCTCATTGTTTTCCTGGGGTTCTGGGGACTTGCTCTGGGGGGCAGGAAGGAATGGTCCCAGCTCAACGCCCCACCCCTCATTCTCTGCGGAGAAGGGGCCAGCCAGGAAAGCCAGCCCGCCATGGCTGCCTGCCGGGAGCACCGCCCGGGAGCACCAGGAGGCGGAGGACTCACCTGTGCCCCTCACCTGCTGCTGTCTGTTTGTTTTCTAGTCCCGGTCTGTTCTTACTGCTGCTCAGTGGCCTACAAGCTGGTGAGTTTGGGGTGCTTTATGCAGGGGGAGGCGTACCTAGCTCTGAGCTGAACTTCCAGACCGCTTCGTGGCTGCTCCCGGAGAGCCGCAGACGCAGCCCTTCGGGGGCCTTGCCGCAGCCCTTCGCACTTTCCTGGGGCCTGCTTCTGGCCCGTGTGCTGGGTTGGTTAATTCCAGGCGTGGGGTCTTCTGGCCCCAGCCAGTGCCACTGAGCTCTGAAAGACACTGGTTTGGGGAAGAGTCAGGAGCATCACAGCAGAGCCAGAGGCCTGGCCCAGAGGGGGAGGCATTAAATGGCTATAAAAATGTTCCTATTGGCCGGGTGCCAGTGGCTCACACCTGTAATCCTAGCTGCTTGCGAGGCTGAGATCTGAGGATTGCGGTTTGAAGTGAGCTGGGGCTGGGAAGTCCCCGTGAGACTCATCTGCAATTGACCTCCAGAAAAGCAGAAGTGGAGCTGTGGTTCAAAGTGGTTTGGGTGCTAGCTTTGCGCAAAAGAGCTCAGGGACAGCGCCCAAACCCTGAGTTCAAGCCCCACCACCGACAAAAACAACAACGAAGAAACTGAAAGCTAATATTTAACAACAACAACAAAGACAAATAAAATCTGTGTCTTGTGCCATGCCCGTGCCCCCTCCCGGCGTGGCCATCTCTGCTCCTGTGTAACCACGGAGGGCGAGGCCTTGGACGCAGGAGCCTCTGTTGGCCACGGGGGCTGAGGCCCCAGGCTGCAGCCCGTGGCCTGCCACTAAACGAGCGGCGTCCCCGCCCCTCCCCCTCCCGGTGTATCTTACAACTTCAGGGCTGTCTTCCCCTTTTCTGTTGAATGGGTCGGGATTGGAGTTGAGTCCTGTCACAGCAGAAGCCGATGGCGTCACCGGCCGGGCTGCCTGGGAACCTGAGTGGCTTCCTTCCCATTGCAGTTGCTCCGGAGAGAGACGTCCAGGCGATGGTGGGGAGCGACGTGAGGCTCGGCTGCGTCTACCCCGGGGGAAGCAGCTTTGACTTAAACGATTTGTTTGTCTACTGGCAAATCAGTGGCTCCAACACCGTGGTGGCTTACTTCCTCTCCGGGAACAGCTCCGTGGACCACGTGGACAGCCGCTACCGCAGCCGGGCCCACGTTTCCGGGGACAGCATGAGGCAGGGTGACTTCTCTCTGCTGCTGCAGGACGTCACCCCCGACGACGCCCAGACGTTCCGCTGCCTGGTGTTCAGGAAGTCCCTGAAGCTGGGAAAGGTTCTGGAAGTGGAGATCAGGCTGCACGTGGCCGGTGAGGCCCTCAGCTTGATGAGAGCAAGTTCTGGGAGCCTCGCACCCTGGCCCGCCGCCCGCTCTCTCCTGTGCAGAGGACCCTGTCTCATGAATTGCTGCTTCCCTGTGAGGCTGCAGGGGAGAAAGCGTGCTCAGCTTGTGGAAAGTTACATAACCAGAGACCCCCGTACCACAGAGCCCCGACCTGCTCCCTGGCTTGGAGCACTCCAGCACCAAGTGGATTTTAAACAATGAATTTTAAAATCCAGGCATGGTGGCTCACGCCTGTAATCCTAGCTACTCAGGAGGCTGAGATCTGAGGGCAGAAGTTTGAAGCCAGTCTGGGCAGGAAAGTCCATGAGACTCTTGCTTCCAATTAACCATCAAAAAGCCACACGCAGAGGTGTGATTTAAGTGGTGGAGAGTGTGGAGGAGCGTGCCAGCCTTGAGCATAAAGCTGAAGGATAGCACACAGGCCCTTGGGCCAAGCTCCAGTAGCTGCACACACGCGCACACACACACACACACACACACACACACACACACACACGGTCCTGGGAGCTACCAAGTGAGACAGAATTTAGAGGAAAGCAAGCACCAGTGCTGCCACCTGCCCGTGAGCAGGTCCAGATGTGGGGCTCAGAAGCCGCCTTGGCACGGTCGCTGTCCCAGGGATGGCGGCTCCCTGCTGGGAAGCAGAGAACCATCCTGGCCGCTCTGACCCTCTCCCCTCCTCTCCCCTGCAGCAAACTACAGCATGCCGGTGGTGAGCAGCCCCGGCGGCGGCCCTGGGGCCTGGGAGCTCACCTTCACGTGCACGTCCACCAACGGCTACCCGAGGCCCAAAGTGTACTGGATCAACAAGACGGACAACAGCCTGCTGCCCGAGGCCCTGCAGAACCACACGGTCTCCGTGAACGCCTGGGGCTTGTACGACGTGGTCAGCGTGCTCACGCTCCCGCACACCCCGGGCGTGGACGTCGGCTGCTGCATTGAAAACGAGCTGCTGAGCCAGAACCTCACGGGCAGCAGCCAGGCACGTGAGTTTGGGGCTGGGTCTGGGGGGCGGCGGGGGGGGGGGGGGCAGGCACCGAGTCCAGCGCATGTCTGCAGGCATGGAGGAGGAGAGGAGGCAGGTGTCAGGCCCCGTGGCGGCAGGAGAGCCCCGATGCTGAGACACGCACGGCACCGGTTGGCATGGTGGCCGTCGGGTCTGCTCTGCTGAGCCGTTTTGCCGAGGAGGCTGAGGCTTTGGGGGCCACGGAAGCGGCGCTGCAGGTCGGGAGGGAGCCCCCTGTGCTCTGCCAGGACCGAGGCCCGCGGAGGATCCGGCCCCCTCTCCCAGGGGCCGCAGGACTTCCCTGTCTGTCTCCAGCAGCGTAAGATGAGGGGCCGCAGGTCCGGGCAGCAGACGCTCACACGGAGGGCTGTGGAGAGGCTCTCGCGGGGGGCACCGGATCCACGTGCAGCAGTGTGGAACAGAAACACAGGCGTGTTCAGGAAGCGCTGAGAATCCATTGTCCCAGGCCGGAGCCCCGCACCCTTTCACAGGGGGCCTCTGGAGCCTCTGAAAGCCGCTGCGGCTCCTCCCGCCAGCTTTCTTCCTGGAGCGTGGAGCGCTGGACTCTCCCAGCACTCATCTTAACGTGCTGCACGCCAGGCCCAGGCATCCTGTGAAGACCCAACACCAAGACACACCGGTCAGAACGCCCCGGACGACTCCGAGAGCTCACAGCTGCCCCTGCCAAGGCCGTGCTGCTCTGCGTCTTGGTGGCACGCCCCTGCCGGCTGGGCTGCCCCCCCTTCCCCCCGGAGAGCAGGACCCCTGGGAGGGCCTGAGGCGCTTGTGCGTTGGCCAGGGCGGAAGGATACCACCAATGTAGAAAAGGCCGGAGCTCTTCAAGAACTAAACTGGATGCTGGTGGCTCACACCTGTAATCCTAGCTACTCAGGAGGCCGAGATCTGAACATCACAGCTTAAAGCCAGCCAGGGCATTTCTATGAGACTTTTATCTCCAGTTAACCACCAAAAAGCCAGAACTGTAGTCGTATGGATCAAGTCATAAAGAGTTAACCTTGAGCACAAACACCCAGGTACAGGGCCCAGGCCCTTATTTCAAGCCCCAGGCCTGGCACACATAGGTACGCGTGTGTGTGTGCGCGCACACACACACACACACACACACACACACACAGAGCTAAGCAGTCACAGGACGGCCCAGTGATTCATCTCCTACAGATGCACCCAAACCAGGAGCTCACGCGATTCCTGTGAATGTGCACGCCCAGCAGTTAGCAGCAGCCCCAACAGCAAAACCTCCCACTTGCCCCCCCTTGGAGGACACACGTCACTGGAGAAGGACACACACCGCGTTGGCTGGGCAGTACCAGAGTGTCGGTGACGGCTGCTGAGCGGCCAAAGCCAGTCAGCAGAGACGTTACGGAAGTGTCCAGAATAGGCAGGCCACAGGGGCAGAGCCTGTGAGCGGGGATCAGGGCTGGACATGGCTGCCCCCCCACCAGCATCCTCCATAAACTCAATGTTGTTGTGTTGTTCACAACGGGCGAGGTTATGTGCTGCAAACTCTACCTCCCTTGGAAGACCAGGAAGGGCCTGCATCCCCACCACACCCCGGTCTCCGGCCTCGGATGAGGATTACAGGGACTGCAGGTCTCATGTGTCACGGCTCACAGGTCCACCCGTGGGAGCCTCACCTGAGAAATCCTCTCCGCACCCACCTGGTGTTTTACATGACAGCAATGTCAGCACAGCTCTTGGGGGCAGGGCCTTCCCTGTGAGGCCCTCCTGCAAAAAGAAGTGCAGAGGGAGCCCCGCCCAGGCCCCGCCCCCAGGCCCAGGCCCCGCCCCCAGGCCCAGGCCCCTCCCCCAGACCTCTCCCCCAGACCCAGGCCCCTCCCCCAGTCGCCAGACCCGGTCATTTTTCTCTCTTAACAGTAGCAGCTTCCCGTGGAGCAGGAGAGCTGTTCACCGAGAGCCCCACTGGCCCAGCCGGACGCCGCAGGCTGGAGGTGTCAGCCATAGCCATTGCCCTCCCTGTCCTGGTGGTGGCAGCGGCGGTGACCTCGTGCCTGGGCCTGGGCCGCTGCCGACGACGCTGCCCACGCCATCCAGGTGCGCGCAAGGCCCGGCTGTTAATGTTGCTGTTTCTGGTGTTGATGTGAGCTTTTTGTTTTTTGTCAGTGGTGGGGTTTGAACTCAGGGCCTAGGCCCCAGCCCCGAGGCTGTTCGTGCTCAAGGTTAGCTAGCACACTACCACTTGAACCACAGCGCCACTTCCCGTTTTCTGGTAGTTCATTGGAGATGAGTCTCACGGGCTTTCCTGCCCAGGCTGGCTTTGAACCGTGATCCTCAGATCCCAGCCTCCTGTGCAGCTAGGATGACAGGGGTGAGCCATCAACGCCCAGCTAGCACTTTGCTTTTTAAGGCCTTCCTAACTCTTGCAGATGTTCATTTGAGGTTTAGTTTTCAAAGCTGGAGGGCTGGAAGGCGGTTGGGTGGTAAAGCACTTGTCTGGCGCGTGCAGCGTCCTGGGTTTGATGCCCAGGACCAAGATAGAAAAAGATGAAAAAACTCTTTGAGCCCCAGGAGCCAGCCAGACTCCCGGGCGTGGATCTGCACAGGGGGCGCCTCCTGGGCGCCGCCCCTGTGCTGGTGATGCGGGCCGCCCCGGAGAGCTCCACCGCCCGCAGTGGCTGCCCCTCGGCCCCTGGCCACAGGACCCTCCCTCAGCAGGGCCGCAGGAGTCCCTGTGGGTGGGGCTTCGCTCTGGAGGGGAGGCTCCCGGTGGCGCCCTGACCTCCTGCCCCCCCCATGTCACCACACCGTTCTTTGTCCACAGGTGACCAGACTGTGACCCCGGAGCAGGAGCAAGAGCTCCCAGGTGAGTGTACCTCACAGAGAAAGCAGGCTGTGGGTGTGAGCCGCAGGCCCGTCCCTGCCCTCAGGTTTTGGTGACTTGCCTTAAATGGCTGGCGATGGGGTGGGTGGCTTAGGTGGAGAGCGGCAGCCCTGAGCACGTGCCTAGCACTGTGCTGGAAGCGTCTGCCTTGCGTGCAGCCTGGCCCTCCCACCCTCTGGGGCGTCTAGGGCAAGTGCAGACACCAGGCGTGGCTTCCTGCCCCAGCTAGGCCCTGGCCCTGGGCGCGGGCGCGGGCGCGTCTCCGGCACCGGCTTTGGAAAAGAACATCCACACACAGGTGTCAAGGTGCCGGTGGCCCACCAGGAGGGGCCTCGGGGTGTGGGGGGAGGGGCCTTGGGTGCAGGGGCAGGGCCTCGGGGTGCAGGAGGGGCCTCGGGGTGCAGGGGGAGGGGCCTCAGGGTGCAGGGGACCCTTGGAGAGCAGAGAGGAGGGGCCTCGGGGTGCAGGGGGAGGGGCCTCCGGGTGCAGGGGCAGGGCCTCGGGGTGCAGGGGGAGGGGCCTCGGGTGCAGGGGAGGGGCCTCGGGTGTGGGGGAAGGGCCTCGGGGGGCAGGGGGAGGGGCCTCGAGTGCAGGGGGAGGGGCCTTGGGGTACAGAGGGCCCTTGGGGTGCAGGGGCAGGGCCTCGGGGTGCAGGGGGAAGGGCCTCGGGGTCCAGGGGGGCTTTGGGGTGCAGGGGGAGGGGCCTTGGGGTGCAGGGGCAGGGGCCTTGTTCCTGTGGGCAGTGACTGCCCTTCCTGAGCCCTGCTGTTTCATCCTGGGAAGGGGAGAATGAGGTGTGGGGTGCTGTGAGCCCTTAGGGCACACTCCCAGTGACTCTCAGGACATGCCAGTTTCAGGTCACTTTGGAACACAATTTGCCAAAAGCTAGAGCTAACTGCTGGGTTTTCTTACTGTGAAGGGGAGAGGCCAGAGTGGGCTGGGACATGGCCCAGGGGTAGAGCACTGGCTAGCAGACACAAGTCCCTGGGTTCAAACCCCAGAGCATAACAAATGAGACATGAGGGAGATGCCAGTCCTTCACATCCCCTTCACCCTTCCTCCCAAGACCAGGCTGCCCAGAGCCTCTGCCCAGGACACCGACCAGGCTCCGGAAGGCCACCTGCGGGCCGGTGGACGCAGCTCAAGGGCGGACTCAGCCAGGGCTGGTGGCAGAGGGGGTGACAGGCCATCTGCGCGTGTGCTGCTGGCCCGCACCTCAGCCCTGAGGCGGCCCCTCCCAGCAGGGCCCTCGGAGGCCCCCCCCCCCTGTGATTCAGACCAGCTGACCCAGACGTGCGGGGAGCGCGGCCTGCAGGGTACACGTGCTTGCTGAGACTGACCACCACGGCACTTGGCTCGGAAAAGAAGAATGCGCGGCGGCTCAGGAGGCGACCAGGAGGCCTGAGATCTGAGGATCACAGTCTTGATTTTTCCTGGCAGGAAAACCCATGAGATTCATATCCAATGAACCAGCAAACAACTGCAAGTAGAGCCGGAGCTCGCGTGATTGATAGATGCCAGCCTCGAGTGTAAAGCTCAGGGAGGGTGTCCGGCCCTGAGCTCAAGCCCCAGTACTGGCACACACGTGGGTGTGCTCACACAGGTGTGTGTGCATACACATGGATGTAGCACTTGGCAGGAGGTTTGGAGAGCTGCTGCGGGCCGGCATGCTGTGCCGCTCTCCACGCGGGCCCCTGATGAGAGGTGGGAAGTGCGTGGTCAGGCTTTGTCCGGGAATCGCACTGCCGGCGGCTGAGGGTGAGGCCGGCGTGGGTCCGGGTGGACCGGGCCCGGTGGAGGGCGAGGGTGGCCAGCGCCGCCGTTTCCCCGGAAAGCATTAGGTCGTGTCATGTTCTGTCTAGAGTTGCACTTCAGCTAAGAAGCACAAGGAGCTGCGGGCGAGGAAAAGCTGGGGGGAGGGGAAGCGCCGTGCACGGCCCAGGGGAGGGGCTGCCCCCCCCTGCCATCCCCGGCTCCGGACACGCCACCCACACACTGTGGTCTCAAGTCTCACTAGAGAGGCCTCGGAGCCTCGGGCGAGCCTGACAGTGGAAGGTAGGGGGGGTAACGGCCCCAGCCTCTTTTGCCAGAAGCAGGAAGCCATGTCTTTGTCAGCAGATACAGGATACAGGCCACAGCTGTAACCAGCTGTCCCAGGGCACCAGGCCTCCCTCCCCCCTCGGGGCGTCCTGCCTGTCCACACTGGGACTGCCTGTCACCTCCCCGCAGGGCCCTCTGACAGCCCCCACCCAGGGGCCCCTGGGTCAGGAACTAGGAGAGCTGGCCTTGCCCTTTGGTGTGGGAGACTCGCCAGGGCCTTTGGCCCTTCAGCCTGTTGCTCTCCACGCCAGGCTGTGGAGCGGCTTCAAGAGCCCTGATCCAGGTGTGACCGCGCAGTGGCTTCTGTCAGTGCGGCGAGACTTCAGCTGCCAGTCCAGCTGCATGTGTCTGTGCAGAGCCGGAAGTGGGGGCCCTGCCCCCCAGCTGCGCTGGTCCCCCCAGGGCCCATGGGGCCTGCAGATGACAGCGCGTCACACGGTGGCATGGGCCTGCACAGCACGGAGCTGCCCTGTAGTCCAGGACGAGAGTCCTGGCCGTGAGTGTCTCCAGCTGCTCCAGTCTGCGCGGCATGGCTGTGCCCAGAGCGGCCTCCTGTCCACTGGGCATGGGGAGGGCGGCCGGGGCCTGGGGACGGCCAGCCAGGCCTGGACGCTCCAGAGACGGCTGTCGCTCTGTCCTGGCAGGGGCTGCGCTGCCCCCCCCTCCCCCTACCTTCCAGAAATGTCAGAGGACATTTCTGCAGGGACTCATCCCACACACACAAAAAGAAAAAAGCTTTACTTAAACCATCTAAAATAATTTGAAGTCATGTTTGTATCACATAGATATAGGGATATAATGTTTTATCTAAGACATCTTATATTCTTATGTTTATATACACATACTCCAGACTCTTAAAGGTTGAGATTGTATACATGCTCTTTGGAAACCTAGCCTTTATCCTGATTATTTTTTACGTTATAATGATCATTCTGTGGCTCTTTATAAGTTTTCAATATTCTGTCATGTATTTGAATTTTGGTATTTTTGTCGAGGGCATTAAAAACTGCTTAACAGAAAAGAATTTTTGTTTTTTTGGGTCCGGTTGTGGGGCCTGAACTCTGGGCCTGGGCGCTGTCCCTCAGCTCTTCAGCTCAAGGCTAGCGCTCTACCACTTGAGCCACAGCGCCACTTCCGGCTTTTTTCTTTTTGCTTATGTGGTGCTGAGGAATCGAACCCAGGGCCTCAGGCATGCAAGGCAAGCGCTCTACCACTGAGCCACCTTCCCAGCCCTGAGAAAAGAATTTTAAAAGGAAGAACTGCTTCCTCACTGAGAAGAGTGTCCACATGCCAATCTCCACGCCCTCTGTCACCCCCACCTCGGTCCCCCCCACGCCCACCTCTGTCCTCCCCGCCTCCTCTCTTCAGTCTTTTGGGACTGGATAGTGCTGTGTAACCCAGGCTGGCCTTGACCTCCAGCCTCTCCTGCCTCAGCCTCCCGAGGGTGGGAACTTCAGGTGTGCACCACCGTGCCCAGTGCCTCGCTCACAATCTTGGCTTACTCGTCCCCTTGGGGCCTGGAGGAAATGAACGGAGCAGGTGAGGAAGGAAGAGGGGTGGCCCTGCAGGTGAAAATGTGACTGCAGGCCGGAGCCGCGCAGCCTCGGAAGGGCCTGTCCTTGAACACAGCCTCCTGCGGCCTCCATTGTACAGAGGTCTGAATCAACCCGCGTGAGAGCGCGCAGGGGCTGATCACTGATGGGGGGCGTGGGCTCCAGCCAGCAGCTCTGAGAAGATCGGTGACAAAACCCCACCTTTTAGGGGAAAAAGCAACAGACATTCAGTTAAAATTACCTCCCGGACTTCCTGTCTGCTGCGGAAAGAGGAAGTGGGTACAGTGGAGCCATGCGAGACCTCGAGACCTTGCTGAGGGTCCCGAAGCCAGGGCACCAGGACCCCGGGAGGGAGGGGACGAGGGGGGAGGGGAGGACCCGCCCCCGTCAGCCATCCCAGGGCCCTGGGAGAGGGTGTCGTGTTGGGTCGCCAGCTCCCCCAGCCAGCAATGTTCCTGCAGGTGGAGGGGGCAGCAGCAGCGCCTGGCCAGTCCTCCATCCCCTCCCTTGCCCAGCTGCGACAGTCTCATTCCAGGCCCGGGCTGGAGCGCACAGAGCAGGCCCCACTGCTGCCTGCTGGGGTCGACGCCGGCCCTGCAGGGTGACTCCAGACAGCGCCCCTGGGGTCACGAGGGCAGGGAAAGGGCGAGGAGCCCTGCTACTCCCCCGGGACAGGCACCCTGGGTGTTTAGGCTGCCAGCCACACCCCGGGGTCTCGGTGCCACACGGGCCGCCGGCCGCGCCCTGGGGTCGCGGTACCACCACTCCCCAGTCACATGGAGTCAGCGGGTGCTGGGTCACTTCCAGGCCAAGTTGTCAGGGCAGGGAAGGAGCTAAGGTTAAGGCTGACTGACTGATTGCACCTGTCCCAGGGCAGGAAGGCAGGGTCTGGACACTGTCCCTGAGCTTTTCATTCAAGGCCAGCATCTACTTGAGCCACAGCTCCACTTTAGGCTTTTTGGTAAGGGGAGATCAAAGCCTCATGGGCTTTCCTGCCCAGGCTGGCTTCAAACCAAGATCCTCCGATCTCAGCCTCCTGAGCAGGGAGGACTGCAAGTGAGGGCCATGGGGTCCAGTTAAGTTCAGGTTTAGACAGAGGTGATGGCCAACTAAAGGATCACAGTCCGGCTTTTCACACGTTTACAGCGAATTCAGAAAAGTGTGCAGCTGCAGAACAGCTGGGCCGCGCAGCCTCCGCTGACCCCAGATAACACGGAGGGACAGAGTCGCTCAACCAACCCGTTGAACCCCAGGCCTCAGAGCCTCTGTGGGTCCCGGAGCCGGCCCTGCCCTTCCCACCTGCCCCCTGTGCAGTCCGGAGATGCTTCCAGGAGGGCTCCCCAGGTGGGGGCGGCCCATCTGTCCCCCGGGGACTGAGTTTATATCATGGCAAAGAAATGCAACCAGGCAGACACCAGAAGTTCACTGTGAATCAAAGCAGAGGGCATGACACAGGCACAGATGTGACACCACGGTGTGCCCGGCACCCAACGCCAGCCCTGTCTGTCAGATGAAAAAGGGAGCCGGGAGCTGGGGGCCAGCAGCTCACACCTGTAGTCCTAGCTGCTGAGGAGACTTAGAAATGAGAACGGAGGTTCAGAGGCAGCCCAGGCAGTGCAGTCCAGGAGATTCTTATCTTGTTATCCTCCGGCGTGTAGGCTGTGGGTTTGCTGCCTAGGGTAAAGGTCCTGTCCTTCTGCAGCTGGGTCATTCTCACTGTGACTCTGCTCCCTTTGCATTCAGTTCAGGGATGTTCAGGCCTGTTTGTTAGCTGGGCGTGTCGGAGCAGTGGGTTCTGCCAGGGGCTCCCTTGGTGACAGGGGCGCTCGTGCCCGGAGGAAGCCCTGTTCTCAGCACCCCTTAAGACGATTTTGCTCGGTTCCCAGAGGCTCGCTGTGGGGTCTAGTGGATGAGCTTGGAGGACAGAGCTGCCTTTTGCCCTTTCTTTTTACTGAATGCCATACTTCCTACAAACACAGAGGCTTAAAGAAAGGAGACCACGTCTGTGGGTCCATCATCAAACTCTTCAACAAGGTTTCACGGCGGGTGTGCCCTCCCTTCGGCCGCCATGCAGGTGGGCGCCGTCGGGGGGATGGGAGTGGAGGGGGCTGGAGGGGGCGGCCTCTGCTGCACGAGTCTCTCCAGCGCCCCTCCGCCATTGCTCTGCTCTGCTGCTTGTGCACGCTCATGCCCATGCCCACTCACGTGTGTAAACCACCCCCCAATTAGGCAGGTGACACACGCCGTGGCACACAGCTGCCACTTCCCAGGAAGGCGGAGGCAGAGCCCAGCCAGGGGCGGAGGCAGAGCCCCAGTCGGGGGCGGGGTCAGAGCTCCGGCGGGGGCGGAGTCAGAGCTCCGGCAGGGGCGGGGTCAGAGCCCGGGGGCGGAGTCAGAGCTCCGGCGGGGGCGGAGTCAGAGCTCCAGCGGGGGCGGAATCAGAGCTCCGGCGAGGTCAGAGCTCCAGCAGGGGCGGGGTCAGAGCCCGGGGGCGGAGTCAGAGCCCCAGTCGAGGGCGGGGTCAGAGCTCCGGCAGGGGCGGGGGTCAGAGCCCGGGGGCGGAGTCAGAGCCCCAGTCGAGGGCGGGGTCAGAGCTCCGGCAGGGGCGGGGGTCAGAGCCCGGGGGCGGAGTCAGAGCTCCGGCGGGGCGGAGTCAGAGCTCCGGCGAGGCCAGAGCTCCGGCAGGGGCGGAGTCAGAGCTCCGGCGAGGGCGGAATCAGAGCTCCGGCAGGGGCAGGGGCAGAGACCCGCGGGGGCGGGGTCAGAGCCCGGGGGCGGAGTCAGAACTCCGGCGGGGGCGGAGTCAGAGCTCCGGCGGGGGCGGGGTCAGCTCCGGCGGGGACGGAGTCAGAGCTCCAGCGGGGGCGGGGTCAGAGCTCCGGCAGGGGCGGGGTCAGAGCCCGGGGGCGGAGTCAGAGCTCCGGCAGGGGCAGGGGCAGGGGCAGAGACCCGCGGGGGCGGGGTCAGAGCCCAGGGGCGGAGTCAGAACTCCGGCGGGGGCGGAGTCAGAACTCCGGCGGGGGCGGAGTCAGAGCTCCAGCGGGGGCGGAGTCAGCTCCGGCGAGGTCAGAGCTCCGCCGGGGGCGGAGTCAGAGCTCCGGCAGGGGCGGGGTCAGAGCTCCGCCGGGGGCGGAGTCAGAGCTCCGGAGGGGGCAGAGTCAGCTCTGGCGAGGTCAGAGCTCCGGCAGGGGCGGGGTCAGAGCCCGGGGGGCGGAGTCAGAGCTCCAGCGGGGGCGGGGTCAGCGCCCCGCGGGGGCCACTCTGGAGTCAGGCGCGGGCTCGAGTCAGGCGCGGGCTCGGGTCAGGCAGCGCTGCGGGGCCACGCCAGGCCTCTGTGGCCTCTCAGTGTCCCGGCCGTCCTGCCTGCCCGGAGAGGGCCCAAGTGCTGGCACGAGACCCCTGGTCCGTTGGAACGGCCGCCCGGGAGCATCGGTGACGCTCCGGCCTAGTAGCCGAGAGGGGTCCGTGTGGGACCCAGTGGGGGCCGAGCCCGGGTCTCCTTGGAGCAGCGCCGAGCCCGGGGCCACACAGCCTGGCAGAGCGCGGTCCCACCTTCCAGTTTTACCAAGCAGGGAGGAGCGGGTCAGACCAAGCTGGGGCTGGGGCTGGGGCCGGGGCTGGGGCCGGGGCTGGGGCCGGGGCCGGGGCCGGGGCCGGTGCCGGGGTCGGGGCCGGGGCCGGGGCAGGGGCAGGGGCAGGGGCAGGGGCAGGGGCAGGGCCCGGGGCCGGGGTCGGGGCCGGGGCCGGGGCAGGGGCCGGGGCCGGGGTCGGGGCCGGGGTCGGGGCCAGGGCCGGGGCAGGGGCTGGGCCTGCAGAGCACCCAGGCACCCGTGGGCGATGGCTGCATGCGTGAGAGAGTTCTGGGTGCTCCATCGCTCAGGGAAGCCACCCCAAGTCCGCAGAGGGGCTCACGGGGGTCTGAGAGGCCATCTCCCTGTGTGCACCGCTCCTGGCTGGCCTCCCGGTGTGCACCGACAGCTCCCGGCCTCCCGGTGTGCACCGCTCCGGGCCTCCGTGTCCTTTTGTGTGCCTGCATTCTAGGCTGCCTGCGGAGCCCCCATGCTGCCCGGCAGATCGCAGCACAGCCGGCAAGGGTGTCTTCCTGAGCCGTCCACCTCTGCACACCCCATCTATTTGCACAGTCACGGAGGGGTGACCAGAGCGTTCTTATTTTTACTTTAAAGACAGTTGAGGGCAAGGTGCTTGGCTCCCCGTGCCCCCCTCCCCGTGCCCCCCTCCCCGTGCCTCCCTCCCCGTGCCCCCCTCCCCGTGTCCTCCTCCCCGTGTCCTCCTCCCCGTGCCCCCCTCCCGGTGCCTCCCTCCCAGTGCCCTCCCCATGCCCCCCTCCCCGTGCCCCCCTCCCCGTGCCCCCCTCCCCATGCCCGGCTCGCTCTGGGGAAGCCCATGGTGTCCGGGAATACTCTAGAAGAGGCCTCAGCTCTGGACATGTAAATTCTGTGGCTTG